CGTGAAAAATTATGTAAATAAAAATGAAAACATATATATATATATATATATATATATATATATATATATATATATATATATATATATAGATATAGATATAAAGAGAACCCTTTGAAAGTTATGACTTCTATTAAAAAAATTGTGACTTTCGTGAAGAGTTGTGACTTTCGTGAAGAGTAGCGACATTTATGAAGAGTTGTGACATTTATGAAAAGTTGTGACTTTTATAAATAGTTTGGAGTTTTACGAAAAGTTGTGACTTTTGTGACGTGTTGTGACATTTTCAATAAGGCACAATTAGAATAACCAATATTATCATTTGATGTCTATAAATTGAGCAATTTCCCCTCATTTTAAAAAAATGAAAATTCTAAACTTCTTCTTCTTCTTCTTATACACACAATTAAATAATTGTGTACTTTGATCCTTTTGAGTTGTTCAATGACACATTATTTTTGTATGAATACACTAGTAAACAAAATATTTTTTATCTAAGTCTATTCCTTCAAACCTCAGGTTATAGAGGAGAATAATTTTTTAAAGGGAATAATTTGCATTCCGTAGGATTGATTTTTTTATGATTGTTTCATTCTATTGTTACAGATGGTGGTATGCTTATTACGGTCATCGATTTATGCTTATGTTATATATTTTTTTAGTACATGTTTTAAACTTTTTTATTTATGTTTATACTTTGGATCATATTTTTGATCATTATGTTGAAGTAAATATATGTTAATCATGAATTTGATGTAATCATTAGACTATTAGTTTCATGTATATTAAAATTCTTAAAATTTTATGCTAAACACTTTGATTTTTATATAGTTTTCAGTGGCTAAAGATAAATGGGATGTCCAAGAAAACACTTTTCATTCTTCTGACGTTATGGTTGTTTCACACTACTTTAGTATATTAGTTATTCAATATTATATCTTATGAGTCATTCAATCAATTAGTGACATCCAAAAACAAAGGAATGTAATTAGACGGTATGTATTAATTGTACTCAACCTTAATCAAATATTTGGGGTTCAAATGTTGGATTAGAGTGAATAAATTACTCCTCAATGTAGGATGAATCCATAACGATCAAATCTTAAAAAAATAATTTTCTCCTTACAAAAATTAGATTAAAAATCACAAAGAAGTCAATAGAATTATGAGCATATTCATGGAAACATAAACAACAAAATATGTCTTTTTGCTATCGAAATAGTGTCATCGACTGTGAATAGTTTTGCATAAGGGACTTGTCAAGGCATCATTTAACTCAAATTATTTGAGCTTCATATGTTATTTCATCGAACTCAAAGAGATTTCCTTATAAATTTTAATTAACATATAAAGTACACAACTAGTTATATAAGATGTATAGTATTAAGATTCTTTATGTAGAGGCCTTAATTATGAGTAAAACTCTCGCATTAATGAATAAATGTTTGTTTAAATTTTCAAAAATACAAATATAGAAGATGAAACAATTACATATATATTTTATAGACTTTGATAAAATACCACAGTAATGTGAAGAAATAAAAACAAAATACATGAACACTTAGAATCAAATATTTTTTCGTTTAAGATAAAAAAAAATATCATTTCATCTTTGAATAAAATATTCTTTACAATTTATCGTAGTGCTATACCCACTTGAAAAAACTTACATTATCAAATGTTGAGAAGTAGATTATTGAAATAGTTCACCGCCGCGCGAATCGCAGGAAATTTACCTAATTTGAACTAAATAGCTTACCAATAAATGAAAAAATGATTAGAAAAAGACCACTATAGATTTCTAAATTTTGGATAGTAACATATTAGATGGCTCTATGAGAATTGTGTTTGTTAACCATTTGGCCGTTTGACGGATTACATTAAATATAAGGGTGTCCAAATTAATACATAAAAACAAAGCCTACGGTTTTGGAACTTATATGAAGGTCAAATTTCAATTTTAAAAACACATAAATTATGTTGAAAAAGGTATAAAAAATTATGTTGTACTGTAAAACCTAAGCCTTGCAAAACTCATGTTGCATGAGGCAAAAGATCAATTTCTAAAACAACATGTTATCCTCTAAAAGATATAATAAGTTTTGTTGTATTGCATAACTTAATTCCTACAAAAGTTTATCTCTAATTTGAAAAATATTTTCTAAAACTTATGTATGACAAGCTATGTCTTAAATATACTACACAACTTATGTTACATAACATAATTACTACATAACTTATCTGAGCGAGATATAAGTTCTCTTAACTTACGTCTTAATTTAATAAAATATATTATGTTCAATTTGACTATATGGTATTATCATGTAGGTGAGGCTCGCTAATAAAAATCCCTGAATCTTACGTCAAAGAATTTTTATCTCTATTCCAAGTTGAAGCCACAAATATCATCATAATAAATATTTTGCATCATTGCTCAAAGCTTTAAGCATAAATGTGTTCAGCTAGATATATGAATTTTGTTGGATAACACTGTCACACTCTTTTTGTCAGATTTTTCCAAGTAAAATAACGTTATTGTGAGGATATTATTTTATTTACTGAAATAAAGTTGTCACTTAGAATTGAGTTATGATATTTCAAGTCATATTTTTAAAGCTTTAATGAAAAAGAAATTACTATTTGCATAAGTCAATTGAAACAATGGATATGGTAAGAAATTCGATTGATGCATTAAAAGGTGTGAAGTACTCTTGAATCACGTAGTTCTAACACAATAGATTTTATCAACTTATAGTTGGCACAAGGTAGTGCTGGACAAATCAAATTATTAAATATTCCCATGGCTTGCTTAACTAAATCAATTTGATTAGTCCCAAACAAATATGTAAAGTCACAACAATGACCTCGATATACACCGGTTAGAACGCATAAATGTGACCTCACTTTGTATAATACATCCTAAATTTAAGCCTATTCGTCTTTGTTAAACTAAAGGTTATTATATTTTTGAAAGTGTGTAGGTGAAGACACATAAATATTACCTTGTAGTTTTAATTATATTTCCTTCTTTGATACGCGAAGTTGCGACCTCATGTAAGAGGATATATTATATATGTCCTCATTAGATCTTAAGACTTACGACACATTTATTCTACTATGTTGGGAAAACTATTTTTTCCCTTTTCTCTCATTTTTTTATCGCAACTGGCTTTGAATAAAAAAATAATCTTACCATTTATATTGTCATTAAGTAATTAAACCCTTAGATTTCTTTATCGAGTCAAATTTTCTATTGTTGACATATGTGTTCAATATAATCAAAAGCCTAATACATTATTAGCACTAAATAAACTGACTACCTTGACCCTTATTTGCAAAAATAATCAAACAAAAGTTATTGTGATCTACTCCCAAATAATCCAAACAAAATAGTTCACTTTAAACCTAAAATCAACTAAGAAAAACCTGACATATTATTAGAAGAAATAGAAGCACACAAACCCGGAATATGACTTTTTTTGTATTATCTTCTACACGACAAAAATTGTATATAAGCAAGCTAAACAAACAATCATTCATATATCATAAGAGTCTACAACCTTAACTAACAAGTTTATCTATTCATGTTAGAAATGAAAAATACAAGATAAAATATATTGCGATAATATTGTGAGTTAACTAGCACATAATCACAAGCAAATAAAATAGAAGTGAAAAATAACACAAGGATTAAACAAGGTTAGGCTAGACTAATCCTCAAAGCAAAAATGAAGATAAAGTTTTTCACTATGAAAGATAGAAGAAATGTACAATCCTTTAGAATCTTCAAGGAATATCCTATATATAGATCCCAAGAAGTCTCAAACATATAAGGAAAAGGTTATCGTAATCCTTAAAGGGAATTATATTTCTTTTCCAGATCTATTAGAACAAAGAGTGTTCTAAACAAATAGGGATTACAAATTATTATGGAAAAAATCAAGACATAATTTAGAAAATGTAATAAGAAATAAAATTAAAGACTCAACAAAGAATAAGATGCAAACTTATTGAGTCAAAATGACCACGGAAGTGTACGCAATCATACAAATATTATATAATTTTTAGTCGAGATATCATACCCACAAAGATTTTTCAATCAATTATTTACGAACTTAAACTAATTAATGTTCAACCTTAAGTGCCAAACTTCAGAAACAAAAAATTCGACCACGCTGCCGCACTGCTTGGCACACTGCACACCCTAAAAGGGTACTTGTAGCGCACTGCTTTAGGCCTTTTTGAGTAAAAAGTATGTCAAATCAAAGTACAAGATGATTACCATAGATATAGATTATATGAGAAGATAAAAAAAAGTTAAGTATTTTAGAAAAGAAGACTGGACATTCCATCTTTTGAATAGATCATTGTAGACCAAATAATAGTTTAACATTTGAATGTAAATAAACGAAATTTTAGTCTTAACACCAAATTATTTGCTTAACTTTCAGAACCATCAACATAAATGAAAATATTGTGCAATCTTCTGTCAACAAAGAACAATACTAATTGTCTTCAAAATATTTAGCCACATAAACACACTGAAGGCCATAAAAGACTTATCAAATAGAAACAAATTATTTCTTGTTGGGATGAGAACCTTCTCCTTCACGGACAACGTGAACTTGTAAGTAAAGTTCATTTTTGTGTTTCTCTCTCACGAATTCACAAATGCACGTATCTATTTCCTCCACAAGGTTCCACTTACATAAATTATGCCACCCTCCAATTAGCCATATTCTACTGTCCTGTCAAATCTTGAGTTTTGTCTCAAATTCTCTACCAGCGGAGTCACGTATGGTCATGCATGAAGGAAGTTCAAGTTGGTAATCTCTGACCACATCAGCCGGAACGTACTACAATTAGAAAAAAACACTTTGTTAAATGAAAATATTATAAGAATGAACTATAAAGTTATCAAATAAAATAGTTATATGTTAATAATTACCAGATGATTTTTCCTTTCTGGGCGTATTTTTGTCACGGAGAAAGCATTTTTTTGGCTTAGTTCCTCCTCCACTTCTGAATATATTTGTAGCAAATTGTCTCCTTAAATATATCATGACAATAATATGAATACAAAATTATGCCTAAATAATGACAGATGTCAGTTTTGTGGTAACATAAATAATAAAAGAATTGAATTACATAGAAATTAAACATAAGAGTATATTTAAAGATATTTAATTTTTGTCTACCTTTGGAACGTGTTGTCATTTTTTTTTAATATGCCAGTTCTTTCTTTATCATCCTCGTCTTCTTTGTATTCATCAGGTTCTTCTTTTTCACCTTCTTCTTCTGGAACATCTTCCCTATTTTCATATTCCTTTTGTTCATCCTCTTTTTCTTCTACTAGGGTATTCTCATCCGTAATATCAAAAGAAGAAATGTTCTTGCTATCTCTAGCCCTAGTATTCTCCTTTGACTCCACACTGTTTTGATGTTCAACATTCATTTCCTCTACTTCCTCCTCCTTCACATTAATTTTTAAACTCCCAACTCCTTTCTTTACACATCCATTTCTTCCAAGTAGTGTAAAGTCAAAAATTCTGGTTCCATCAAAGTCAAAAATAAAGAAGTCTCCAAGCTCTACGATGTTGTCCTTAATGAATTTTTCCCATCCATATTCAAAATAAATATCTTTTGCTTCTTTGGTTACCCCTATAGGCCACATATTTCCAAACCGATCCCTTAGGATAATGTTGCTAGGTAATATTCCATCCACGTAATCGGTATAAGTTGTAGGAAGTTTCTGTGAAAAAAAAAAGGTTCACTTTTGAAAAACTAAATGCAGAAGAACATTAATTTATTAAATCACATTGCTAATGTCATAGAAGCAAACAGGTTTTAGATGATAAAATATTTCACATAAACACAAAGTTTGAGACTTTTGTTGTTAGAATTCAAGAGTCTAGCTATTACGGAAAGGATAAAATGTAATATATGGCATTTTCAATGTTTTATCATACGAGTACTTCGTTCAACCCTTATAATATTGTTAGTTTTGAACAAATGCAATCTCTATCATTGATGGACTAAATTAAACATAATACTTATAAAAAAAGTACGTCTTTAACATATATAGAAAAACATTGCACAACAAAGGGGCTCTTATCAACCTTTTAGTTTCCCTGCCCTTATTCAACACTTATATTAAAAAAACTATTGATTGAAAAAGTTTTTTAAAAAAAAGATTCAACAACAATTATAGATCAAATACATGAAGATAAGAACAAAAAACAAGATGAAAGGGAAAGAACAATTAAAAAAAATAATAGCATGAGGCATCCATGTTTTTCAGATCTGAATCTCAACAAATCCTTCCCCCTCCACTATTTATATTCGCTGCTTACATATATCTAAAAAGAAGAAAAAAATCAAGAAAAAGTTACATCATAGACCATAAGGGGGGGGGGGGGTGAGAGTAGACTTACCTACGGCTTTCCATTAGTTTCAGGGATAAATACCTTGAAGAATCCCATGTTCATTTTGTTTGTTAAGATTTAGGAGGAGAGCACAATTGAAGCACAACCTATAAACCCTAAAAGTTAATAGGATTGAAAAAAAAGTTTATCATCGATTACATTAAGCCTGTTAAGCGGGTTATGTCATGTTTGACCAGCCCATTAAGAAATTCACTGTATTCCAACCACGAGCTGGGCTGGATCACAAATAATTTCGTCGATCTGGGATCAACAGTGTAAGACTTTTGTTTGGCTCTGCCCACAATCCATTAGCCCAATTTTTTGGGCCAATTGGTCCAGGTTCTTGTGGACCGAACGGACCGTGTCATTGTATAATTATTATTTATTTTTCAAAATGTTTATTAAATGGAAAGTTTGATTCAATTATCAATAAGAGTGTATTCTTAACTATTTAATTTTGAAAAAATTATAAATATTTATAGTATAAAATACTTATATTATATTATATGTATACTAAAAATTTATACCAAATACTAGGTATTATAATATATACTTACAGTGTATACTAAATATACACACAATATATTGTCTACCATCAAAGAGAATATTTAAATTATACTATTTATACACACTTATAGTGGATACCAAATATACACACAATATTGTATCTATCATAATATTAATAGTATATAAAATACATAAAAGTTACAACATAGGACTTAAAAGATACTAAAATAAAAGTATTTTGAATTTTATATGTCAAATATTGTTTTAAGTAATATTTGCTAACATTATTTTTTCAAGTATTTACTTATTATAGAGATTTCATATTTCATTTTGAATATATGGTTCTGTAAAGTAACTAAAATATATTTAATTGGATTTATATAAATTTATAAAAATGAAATAAAGAAATGCAAAGATCCAATAAACCTTTGACTTTATTAATATATCGTTAATACTAATAATTTCTCCTCCTCGTCCTCATTTTTATTCTTCCTTCTCCTTCTCCTTCTTCTTCTCCTTCTCCTTCTCCTTCCTCTTCTTCTTCCACTTCTTCATCCCATTTAGATCATATTCTGCATTTATATTTTTTGTACATATTTTACATTTATTTTATAATATAAACTATAAACTATAAACTATAAAATGTATTTAATATGAGAGTTTAATACATGAGAAATGTCAAACTCAAATACTAATTTGAATGTAACTATGTCTGAAATAAACCTCTAATCTCACTAGATGTGCTGGGACATGCCCCATCACAATCTTGAAAGCATTGAAAACTAAAGACTAAAAAGCAAGGGAAGATATTAATGTCACTCATCCTCGAAAAATGAGGACTCACCACTACTGCTGAACAGAAAATCGGGAATAGATATATGATTGAAGTACTCAACATGTAGGATACAGTAATCCTGAAATAAATATGGAAATGATAAAGTAATAAAGCAATAGTATAATCTAATAATGATATAGAAACTTAATACTGAGCTAACAAAATGAATAACATGTTGAGACTGAATAGTGTGTATACTGACATATGGTAAATACAATAAAATGTGGGATTGGAATGCGGGAGATGTTCATAACCGATAATAAAATTACATGAGCTAAATGTGTGGTCCAATGTATACGCCCCATCGAGAGAACCCAATACAACCGATGAAAGGTGTACATGCATGATAGAGTGATCACTGAAATGATGCCCACCGAGATGACTTACAACCTACGTGACTAGTAGTCCGTGGACTAATTGAGAACGTTGAAACCTAGTCTAACTTGGAATTATCCTGAGGCCAATACATTAAATCATTAACATATTATGACTAAACTTCTGTAATACAATGGATATATCAAAACTTACATGCAAACTAAAAATTCAACAATTAATCTACTAATGATACATTCATAACTAAGGCATGTATAACTAAATACTGAAATATCTGACCTATTAATGTTGTATACAAGGACTACAGAAATACATAGCTAGGGTTAAAAAATACAAGCAAGAACTTAATTAATAACATTATAATATGATTGCGAACATTAATTAAACTAATTTATGAAAATCTATTGAAATTCTAGAAACCATAGGCTCAATTGATAGTAGCGAATCAAGAATATGACTGAAATCTATATACCTAATGGGAGAAAGGAACCCACTAGTGAAATATCATATATCTGGTGATGAATTCCAAAGAGAAATCTTTGGAATTCAGGGCTGGAACAAATGGAATCTTGTCGCATTCTTGAACAAGGTTTTTGTCGCCTCTTTCTTCTCTCTAGGTTCTAATTTTTCAAATTTTGATGAAAGATTTGACGTACATAAGTTTTAGTTATGTTTCTACGCTATCACTAACCAAAACCACGTAGTTTACGATTACAACGACGTAATTTAGGTGTCCAACCAAGTAGAAGAAAACAAAAATACCCCTAACCTAAAGCAGTAGACGAGCAGACCATGAGCCATACCACAGTTCGTGGACCACGAACACTGAAGGATCCCCTGATCTTCATTTGTTCCGATGGTCTGATGTTCCCAGATAGCAGACGCTCCCACAGACCGTGAGGTGTCCTTGCTCTTCAATGTTATAGGTAGTCTAAGGGATTGTCCGCAGGGGGGGCTACTATCTAACTTCCACGGGCCCTCCCACCGTCCGCGTGAAGGACAACAAACTGCATAAGTGTCTATGGTCTTGATGTAGACCTAGGGGTCTAGGAAAATGTTAGTGGGTCCATTGTTTGACTAACCAAGAACATCACTACGACCTGTTGTCGAGACCACGACCGATGAAGGGTCCCGTGGGCGGATTCCTTGGCTAGGTAGAGTCAAACACTAGACCACGAGCAGGTCTATAGACCATGTAACCTATCACGGTGGGTGACCCCTATGGTGGTTCACTTATATACAAAAGTTTTTTTTTAAAAAAATGGGTCTGATTTCCGAGGTGTTGTATAAGCCTCCAAAGTTCTAGTAAAAAATCCTTGTATGATATCGCTAATGTTACTTAGGTTCACTTTTAAAAATAACTCTAAAACGAGCCTTTGCTCGCAAGAGAAAAACGCAAATAGAATGTGACTCTCTATTTTGTGAACCAACATTCACTTATGTGATTGTTGAGCCAACAAGCAATTCTGCACAAATATGATGGTTATTACTCGACCCTTCGTGGATCTGAGCTGACCTTCGTTAACAAGAAGTTTAACAAAGAGTCGACCCATTGCTAAAGACAAGCATAACTAACATTTATATATTCAGCCTAATCTCTAATCTTTGAATGGGCCCGCTAGATTCGTTGGAACGCATTACACACAAAATACATATACAACATGACCAAACATGCAATTTCAGAATTAATTGAACAATCATAATAGATATCCTAAGTTTTCTTGACCTAATCACCATAATGAACAAACACAACACTTAAAAAGTGTAAAACAAGCTTGAGACCTCTGAAATTCAACCAAAACCTTCTTCAAGCCTTAAATCATCCCTCTATTCAATGGAACCCTAAAAAATCTAATACGAGCATCTGAACCCCAAATGTTAACTAATGTCAATTCAAACACTAAAATTTCAAAAAAAAAATTAACTTACGATCTCAAATCCATGAAAAGAGTATGAATCTGAAGCCGAAAACTCTCTTTAGCTAATTTACTTATTTCCGAACTATTGGATTTAATATAATTCAATTCTGGGACTATTGAAATTCACAGAAACCAGTTCTGAGATCAGAAACTCCAATAGACACGAAAATCATGTTTCAGAAACTTTATCCTTTTGAACAGAATAATTTTCGTAATTCAAATATTCTTACTCATAGTTCAAAACCAAATTCAAAATCCGATCAGAAATTTCTGGGATCGATATAACGAGGGTTTTAATGGTTACATAACAAATATTCAAAAAATGACCTTCTGGGTCACCATACATTGGTTGTTAAACTTTAAGACAATTGTAAAATTGATGACAAAACCTTTTTAATTTATAATGTTCTTTATAATAAAGAAGAAAATATAAAAGAGAAGGTTTCAAAAAATTTGAAGATCTCATAAATTGACCATTTGCATTTTTCCTCTTGTCGTGTATTTTTTGATTTGAGCAAACAAAAGTTATATTATTACAGAAGAGTAGGTGGAGGGAAAACGAGTAAAATAATTACGACATCGAAAATTGAATAGTCACGAATAAGATGGTCAAAATTTATGCAGTCAACAAATTGTCCTACTTAGTTCTGTTATATAGTAAATAATTATATCGTTATCGTCTTTTACTATTATAAAAAAAGATGTATGATAACAATCATGGAATAATGTAATGAGTTATTATAACTCAGATAAGTTTTCCTCATTTGAAATTGAACAATGGTAGCTGACGGAATGACTTAATAAAAGAAGTGACGCTACCAAAAGCGTTGTGATAAGCGATATACTAATTTATTGAGTTAATTAATTAAAACTAATAATTTGATAAGGTATTTTAGTAAAATAATGGATCATACTTGATATTTTGATGTCCAAAGTGAAAACGTTATGTAAAAAATTGAAACGTTTGAAATAATAAGCTTAGTAATAAATAAGAAAATGAGAAAAAAAGACCTCTATAGGTTTTTAATTTTTTTTATAATAGCGGAGTGAATAGATCTATGAGATTGAGGTTTTTGACCACTTGACCACTTGAAGGAGCTTTCCGGGTCAATTTAAGGTTGGTCATATTAACCCGTGAAAACATGACCGAGCGTTTAGAAGTTGTATGGAGGTCAAATTCCAATTTCAAAACATATAAATTGTGTCATAAAAGGGAAAAAACTTTATGTCATAATGTAAAACCTAATTCCTACAAAACTCATGTTGTGTAAGGCGAAATATCGATTTCTGAAACAACAAGTTATCACTTAAAAGATATAATAAGTTATGTTGTACTACATAACTTAATTCCTACTAAAGCTTATGTTGAGTTAGAAATATATTTTGTAAATTTATGTACAGAGAGTAATGTCTTAAATATAGTACACAACCTATGTAACATAACTTATTACAACATAACTTATCTAGAGCGAGTAATAATTTCTCCTAACTTGCGTCTTAATTTAATTAAATATATTTTGTTCAATCTAATATATAGTAAGCATATCCCAAGAATCTTGCATTAAATAAATGTCATCTCTATATCAAGCCACAA